CAACAACCAGCATGTGGAAACTAACAGAACTGAACTTTGAAAAACCCTGTTTGTGTGTGTCACCAAATACAGTTTTAATATTTTTTTAGCCGAGAAAGTAGTGGTTTAATCTTCATGTGTCTGGTCGGTTTGTCAAGATACAGCCTCTTTGCAAAAGTGCTTCGATGATTTCGGAGATGTCTGCCCAGTCTCACGGCAAAGCGTGGATAGACCCGCTCGCCTCGCAAGCAATCGAGCTGTTATTACCACCGACAAAGCGCAGGCCCCGGTACTCAGCTGTAATAATCCCCGCTGACACGGACTTCTTTTACTGAGGTTATATTTATCAGGGTTTTATTTCCTGATGTTCTTATGTGTCCTACGTGTTTCAGTCGCCAATTCTGAATTATAACTAACATTAAAAACATGTTTAAGGAGGAGAGAGAGAAAATAAATTCGATTAACTCCTCGAGAGACGTCTGTCTCGCCCTAGCAACACCTGTCCCCCTCCTCATCTTTAGTTTGCCTCAACATACGCTCGTCAAATTCTGTGATATGATTTACTCTGAGGTGTTTGACGAGGTAAATGGTGTCGCCACAACACCTCACTTTCTTGCCACATGTATCACAAACCGCATCTTAGCTGTTTGTGGAGATAAAATACGTCCGCACATTATTCCATTTACGCCCAGCTCTTGTTGTGAGTTCGCACGCCAAGGGGCTGCGACACATTTATACAGCCGTATTTTGCACATGACCATTAAAGGCGGAAGAGGAAGTAGTTCCTTCCAATGTAGACAATCCAAATGATATAGTTTCTTTCCACTCTGTTCCTGTTAATGATAAACTACAAATTTACCCTAAATTACTAAAATATCGATATTTTAATATGAGAATCGATTCTAGAACATAAATGATTGGTATCGGAGGAATCGATATTTCAGTATCGATCCGCACATCACTACTACTAACATGTTTAGTTTTAAAGGACACCTTCCTGCCTTTAGTCTAATTCATTAGCAGTATTAGTTTTCTTCTAACATCCAGAAGTCTGCACCATGTGTTTCATAGTTTGTAACAAACCTTTGACAGTTAAACATAACATGACCGAAAAAGCAAAAAAATGAATAAATGAAAAAAAAGAGAGAGAGAGAGAAAAAAAATCACACAAATTATATGTTAACCTCATTTATTTTTAGTTAAATAAACTCTAAAAATTCTAACAGATCGCTGGTGCCTAGAATACAGTTGAATAACTATTAAAAAACAGATGATATAATATTTCTGTCCAGGTTGCAGTCTGCATTATGAACATGTAGTTGGAAACTCTGATCCTCTCGGTGGAAATGCGCCTTCTCTTTCCTCTTTGTATAAAAACATTTTAAAAGTCAGTTTAATCTCAAAATTTACTGTTAAATCCAAAACACACCAGATAAAGAAAAGCTAATTGTTCAGTCTAACACATGTGCCAGTGAACCATTAAACGTCTCTAAAACTGTGCAGTTATGAAACGTAACTTTAACCTCAGCCAAACCGATTTGCTCAGTTGTAAATAAAACAGCGAAGTAAACGTGACCCGACAGACAGAACCTGAGTGAATTAAGTCCAGCGTTTAACCATTGAGAGCTAAAACTCAGGTGAGGTTTCAAAGCTGTGTGCCGGTGATTGGACATCAGCCGCTGATAAAGTGGGTTCACCTATAAAGTGCTCTGTTGGGAAACAAGCTCCAGCAGCTCTGCGCTTGGGAAAAACTATATTTACTTATCTTGTGCAGAAAAATGTGCTGAGGTTGCGTAATATCGAGCACCGGCTGCCCAGTTAAACTGTGACTATCACCAGGTAACGTGGGCGTGTTTCTTGAATTAGCAGCAGGTGTTAAACAGCTGACAGGTGAGGAGG